GTGGAAGGTATCCTAGATTTCTTTACGTATTTTAAATGGTCAAAAAATAGCGCAACTTTTGTATAATTTAATATCTTACGGTTCATTAGTGCCATTGCAATGGTGGAAAGTGAATATCGCACCACCCTGTATACGTGCCATTTCTAGACATAAAGTGCTATTTGGTAAAGCAATTAACAAAGTTAAACAACATAAAAAAGAATGCAAAACAGTTTTCTGTGCATTGCCGAAAACTAGGAATTTAGCAAAAAGTGAGTTTAGCAACCATACTATTTTTTATATATTACATATACATATTTACATGAAAATGATTATTAACATAGTTTACAAATTTTGAACGAAATTTTACTCCTATTAAATTAATGAATTCGTAGGTATATTTTGTTGTTTAAAATGCAGTTGTCGGCGTTTTTTAGAGAACTTAAATATAAAAATGGTTGATTTTAAGGTTATGTTTGTGCAAAAATTATATTTAACTAATTTCTTAAAAATCCAAACTTAAATATAACTTATATTAGGTAAAGATATCATTAGTTAATTCTACGCCAACAAATGTACTTACCGAATTGGATTCTTTGGCAAAACATGAAAATGCAACGATTTAGTTCCTGAATTTTATTTACAATTAAAAACGCAATAATTCACCATTATCCCTTAGATAAAATACACATAGCATTTAAGCGTTGAGTTTCTTAATCAATAATATAAAGAATAATCATCGAAATCGAGTACTAAACCAGTTTTTTAGTTTTCTTCTTTAGCGTATACTAAACTAACTAAAATTTTTGAGGTGCAGTTATATTAAAAAACGATTTTAAAATTGAAACCAAGCAACTTTGTAATGAGGTAAGTTCAACTAAATTTTGGTCTGGAAATATAGATTTTCGAAAAAACTTTTAAATATCAAGAACAAATAATTTCTCTCTTATTCTTTAAACCTGGTTTCTCTTTTTAAACTTGCCGACGTTTTTCAATTTCGACACTTGGCCCTTTTGTGACAACCAAATTATTGCAGTCGTACCAAAGTTGACCGCCAGATGAGAGATTGAAGTTTCCAATAAAACTAGACAAAGTTTTAATTGGATATAAATCCAATTCGCTTCTGGACGTAAATGATTTTGAGTCCCGACAGTTTTTAGTTTGTTGGAATGTCACATACAGATACTAATTTCTCGAATTCAATTCCGGAATTAGAATTTTGCCCTTTTATCGATGAAATTTAATGTTTTTGTCTGTTGAAGCTTTTCGGAGTTTATAATTTCATATTTAATATCAGTAATATATACTAGATATAAAAACTTTTAGTTGAGCGTTTAGTAAAGTATCTGTCTCTTAAGCGTCCTCCAAATATTTTTGAAGTTTTAATTCTTATAGGATATCAACATATTGTGGTTATAAAACTAGAACACAACAAGAAATTTGCAATTTATTTAGTAAAATTGAATGGAAATATTTCATGGAAAAGAAAAAAATCAAATTTTATTGTACTGTTTAATAATACCTAATACAGAAAGCATGGAAGTAACAAAGTTGATCAAAAGTACCTTTTTTGTAGTTAGGGTAAACCACATAGTTATTGAACACTTATAAATATATAAAAAGGATAGTTTGTTTAAACTTTATTTACGTTTACTTAAAAATAAGAATATTTGAATTTTTAATATTAGTTTTATAAAAACATGCAAAAAGTATAGTAATTGGACATTTTATATAGTAATTGGACACATGGACCATAGTTATTGGACATACAATGTTTATATAAACAACAACTTTACATCAAATAACATAAATTGTTAAATATTTTTTAAAGAAAAATTGGTGTTTTAGGTAAATTTTTTTATTTCGTTTTGGTAAACATCATATAATTCATATATTTCTTTCTCGGATTCATCATCCCTTTTCTGGATTCTGAAGGTAACTACTAATTCCTTGGTCTGACTTCTGAAATAGTTTGTTGCAAATATCATTAAGTGTGGTATCTCTAGTTTGTGAAGCATTTATAATGTTTAGGCCGGATTAGGATGATTTATATATATATCTAATATTTTTTCAGGTGGTATGTTAAAAGTATTTTCCGAATTTATTAATTTTGTTGCCATTAGTTTTTTATGTTCTGTATTTAAATCACTGTTATTCTGCAAGATGTCCTGTGACGAAGAAATCACTATATTAATTACTCTCTAAAAATGAATTAGTCAAAAATGTCATAGCGAAAAAGCGGCCACTAATAACTCTTGTCAACAGCAATTTTTATCCAGGACATTCAGCAGTCAATTCCTATGAAATATTATTCGCTGAATCCGAAAATGTCGTCAAAAGTTATAAAAGTAGAACAGTTTTTGAAATATAATCAATTTTACATATAATATGGAATTGACTATATCTCAAAAACTGCTTAACTTTTATAGATTTTGACGGTCTTTTCGGATTGAGGGGACAATTTTACATAAGAATTGGCTGGTAAATGTCCGAGATACAAATAGAGTATGATATTGGACAAATGTCCAACAATAGAAATTTACATTTTTTACCAACCAGTAATTGGACACTGGCCATTTTATTGTTTGTTTTCAGAATTAAAATTAAAACCCATTAAAGTGACAATGTTTAAACCATGAGGAACACATTTATACCACACACTGATCTGTACACAATGTTTTTTATTGTAATTGAAACACAGCCCTGCTCTAAACAAAAATCTTACCACCAAAGTAACGTGGGAACTTTTTTGTCCTATATTGTACCCAAAATAAAGTAGTTCAGCGTCATCTAATGATTTGACTTTAAGGTAACTAAGTATTATATAAAGTTTATACTTAATAAAAACATTTTCCTGGAAAAAATTAAATTAGTTCTTTGGTCTAAGGGTTTTCCTTCCTCTTTTCCGTTCGTTTATTGGTTATGCTGACGCTTATATTTTGTGCGGAAAAATCAAATTATTTTTACCTGACCTCACGTAAAATGTTAACGAACCAAACATTTCCACAAATAATATTATGTGATAAAATATCTAATAATATATTGGGATTTCAATAAACTGACTGTCGTATAATTAAATAAAATGATAAAAACTATAGTTTTTATCATTTTATTTAATTATACGACAGTCAGTTTATTGAAATCCCAATATATTATTAGATATTATAATAAATAAAAATATAGTTGATGACTTTTATATTTATCCTAATGCCATTAAAATTATATAATTTAACATATGTTAAAAGAAAAAAACAAATACCTAGTTTGAAACTAATTATTTATTAAATAGTAATTTTTTGTTATCTAGGACCTAGATTCTAGGTATTATATTAAAATGTAAACTTTTATGCTATGTTTGTTTTTAATTACAAAAAAAAAATCAATAAATATTTCCACCCAAGTTCAATGTTAGGGGTAATTATTTTACAATGAAACTAAAGAAAGTTATAAATCAATTGATTTGAAGCATTCACCTTTTCAATCAGACAAAAAACAGCAAAGATATTTGATATACCTAATTAACATGGTAGTAAATTTATCTTTAAAAAAATATAGGTATGTTTACTTTCTGAATTTATTTTTTCATATATATTTACAAATAAAAATACCTACTGTCTATAGACAGTATAAAATAGTACATTCTGTAACAAGTTTGGAATGCAGCATATTCCGCTCGAGGAAAAATTTGACACACGAGCCGAAGGCGAGTGTGACGGTTTTACGAGAGTGGAATATGCTATTCCAAACGTGTTTCAGACATTATTTTCTCTACGACTACGTAAGAATAGTAACGCTTATATAATTTTAACCAGAGAAAAGAAACCAAGCAGTTTTTGACATTTGTTTTTTGTAGGTATTGTCAAACCATTTTGTGCCGTCACAATTTTATAATGTTAATTATACTAAATTTAAACAAATGGTATGCCTAAATCTTTATTATAATTAAAAATAGTTATTTACACTAACTAATAAAAAAATAACATTGTAACAAATACAAAACTAATCTATGTCAACATCTATTCTTTTTCTACATTTTGAATCTGTCAAAACTTCAAAGCCGGTATAGTAGGTAACTGGTTTATCATTTTAATATCAAATTTATTATAATTTTGATTTGTATATTTGAAAAACAATAAATATAACTAATTTAGAGAAATATATTTTTATACATATTTTAAATCATATTTTAAATCATGACTGCAGTCGTTAACGACTGATTTAAATTATATCAACCGATTTACATTTTAGATGATTTTATTGGACAAAAAACAAATCTAGCAAACCATGACTTATTAAACTATTTTCCATGGTTAAAAGCAATGTCACAAATGTCGAATAAATCTTGATGAAATTTTAATTGTTTTATGTCTAATTTAAAATGTCAATGCATAAAAATCGACTTTTAGGGAAAATAAAAACTTTGAAAGATAATTACCCAATTTATTTTATAAAACAACAGTTTTTAAAGAATACGACCCTAAGAAATCAGAACCTTTTTTTGAAATTTTGAAAAATTATTTTATTAAAAAGGGTTATCATATTTTGTTGCTTAGTTTATAAAATTATCTGTCCCAAAAATAAATCAATTACCTTATTTATTTGCGGTAAGACGGTGTCTTAATGCGAACACTTAGGTTTTACGAAAGGAAACGCTATATTTCTTAGCCATTACATTTAAATGCCCTATTTGTTTTCCAAGGTTATTTAATATCCTTATTTAACAAACGCTTACTTTAAATGTTATGTAAATAATAAGACAACATCACAACATTATTACCCTAAGCTATATTTAACATAATTTATCATTAAAATATAAAATAAAAGCTTACCCCATCACATCACAAATGCACAAAAACGATTTACCTATTTTCAAATCAAAATACCAAGCTGTCAAAAATAAAAACAAATCAATGCTTAAGGGCTGCCAACGTGACGTTTCTTACATCCTAACCTATAAATCTGTTCAATATCGAAACTTATTCGAAAGATTTAACGTTTATCATGATATATTCTAAATCGTTTGGCCTATAAAACGGTGGAGTGTGTGGGGCTGGCGGCGATATAAATTGAAGATAATTTACGTAACACATCTCAGTCACGTATATTTAATCTTGGCGGGCGGGTGATAAACTTTGCGCCGAAACGGTCCGACAATGGTGTCAATGCAGCGGCAGTGAAATTCGGCGGGGGTTGGCGGACCTGTTTACACATAAAGGACCGCAACGGCCGAAAAGCGTTTTCGGTTTGATTTTAGTTGGCTGGTAATGACTTAAGTTTTGCTCGGTTGGGGGCCCTGTCCCGCAGCACTCTGAGATACGAGTGTGCATGTTCGAGCTTTGTTGGGGTCCAAACAAAACCTTATTATGTTTAATAGTTTACCGCAGTTTGTTAAGAAAATATTGGAACTTGTAAATAGCGGCGGTATATGGTATTTTAAATTTTTATTCCAATAATTCAGTTGATTTTAGGTAAGTAGGTACCTACTAAACAATTTTTTATCATAAAAATACATATTTTTATTCGTTTCGGTACATTCCATATGAGTCAATCCAAATGAAAACACCAAAAATGAATTTAAAATAAGGTGACCAACCGTTCTGATTTAACCAGAACTATACTGTTTTTGAGAACCATGTTCTGGTTGTAAATTAAGTAAAGTAAAAGTTCTGTTTTTCAAAAGCTTTTCTGTTTTTTTCTGTTTTTATACCTACAGATACCTACAATACTAATTAAGCCATAAACATAAAATTGTATTTTCCACTTTGCCACATTTTTTCCCAATCGTGCAACCCTGCTCGCCCTACTCCCACTAAATACATTCGCGTTGGCGTTCGCACTTGGCTCTCCCCAAACGAACTAATAGTTCGGAACTATTTTAGTATTGCGCATGTCCCTGACGTCTGCGCGTTTTATTGTGGTTAAATATTGTAATATCCATTGTTTTTTATATTTTAAACTCTAAATGATGTGCCTCCTTAAAGAGGAAAATGCATCTTTAATGCAGAAATGCAAAAGAGTTACCTATATTGTTGTGTTTATCTTGAACAAATAGTCCTGTAGAGAAAGTGCAAAAGAGTTACCTATATTGTTGTGTTTATCTTGAACAAATAGTCCTGTAGAGAAAGTTTTTTTCAATATGAACAACTTTTGGACAAAAGACAAATCACAATTGCGTATTGAAACACTAAAATCATTATTAATTGTTAAAACTAATTTCGATCAAACATGCTTTAAAAAAATGAAGTTCTAATAAAAAAATTCACTCCCAAGAAAAATATAGTTTTAAAAAATCTTAATTTGTAATAAAATTATGTTAATAGAAATACATGTAAACATTTTATAAATAATATAGATTTTTTATTAGAGTTCTGGTTTTTCTTTCAGGAGAGTTGGTCACCTTAATTTAAAAGTGCGCTGCATGATTTTTTATTTTATTGAAAAAATTTGAGGATGATCTTTTAGGTATTATACCTATACAGGGTGGGCCAGGATTAATCTGAAAATTTTTAATGATCGATAGAGCCTGAAAAAACAATAAAAACAAACCCAAAAACATTTTTTAAAAATACACACTAACACACTAATAGCCCTTCAAAGGCAAAAAACCGTTTTTTTTTAAATAACTTCTGCTCAAATTTTGTGTACCTAGGTAAAATTTCTTACAAAAGACCCAGCGGCGGATATTTTGGGGGGGTTTCCCCTTTTTACCCCCATATTTCGACACCACTGGATTTTATTGGAAAATCATCAGATTTCTTATTCAATTTAGAAGCAAAACTTGTGTGTTAAATTTTCATAAGATCAGTGGTTTCGGAGACTTTAAAATTTCAAAAGCACCGAGTACACGGAATTTTATCATATTTTATTTTAAATCGGTAACTTGGTAACAATTATGCCACGTTATCAGTTTATAAAATATTATAAAAATAAACTAGCGTCCAGGAGTCATCGTGCAGTTGTTACTGATCCCGTCATATTTTTAGGTTGTTTTATTGTAACGTTGATTGAGGATTACAATCAACGTCTGTAATTAATAATTTAATTGTATTATAATACAAAATCAAACCAACCCAAAAACCACCCTATTGAAAGCGATTATTCCATTATTTCATTGGTAAATTTTTATTGGCCCAATACAATCGTTCAGAAAAAAATATTTTTTTATTACTAAAATAATAACAAAAGTTCCGTGTACACAGTGTTTTTGAAATTTTAAACTGAAATATCTCCGTTGATCTGATAATAAATAAACATAAAAGTTTTGCTTTAGATTGAAAAAGGATAAAAATAAATCTGATGATTTTCTAATAAAATCCAGTGGCGGAGAAAATATGAGGGTAAAAAGGGGAAACCCCTCCCAAAATCTCCGCCACTGGGCCTTTTGTAGAAAATTTTCATTATATTATCGACGGAAGCTTAACCTACACACAATTTGAGAAGAATCGGTTTAATGGTTTAAAAATTATATCTCCGTTAGTATGCATTTTTGAAAAATGTTTTTGAGTTTGTTTTTATTGTTTTTTCAGACTCTATCGATCATTAAAATTTTTCAGATTAATCCTGGACCACCCTGTATATATATGAAAAACCGTTGCCGTTTTAATTTTTGGTTGCTTTATTTTTAATCGGCACCCTTTAGAAACCTGAAATCGTGTCATTTTCTTACTCTCTTATACCTAAGGGGCTAAAACTTTTTTCTGTGGCAATTATTGAAATGATTGTAATTTTATTTTACTGCCTAGTAAGTATGTTTTCAGTATTAATTATTATTATCTAATTAGTTCATCTCATAAAAGAATGGTAAACCACTAAAGATTTGTAATAATTTGCCAATTTTTGTGATTTTTGTCTGGCTCCTGTGCCCATTCTGCTAAATCTAGAAAGTTGCTTTTTTTCAGTTATTACTACTTATACAAAAACTGTTATTTTTATTTTCTTTATTAAAAAAATTATTGAAATTTGATAATTTTCAAAATTAGCCAATTTTGCCCTCAGAAATCATTATGTTGAGGAAAAAATAAAAATCTGAAACTTTCAGGAAATGTAGTCCCCACCTTCATCTTTTCAGTCTAGTTAGTCTTGTTTTGTTATTTTTATCCATGCATGCATGTAAAAGATATAATAATTTTTTTTAATGCAGTTAAGAAGCGATATTGTTAGTTTTATTTATAATTTAAAATTTAGATGGCTTTGACTTAGTCAATTCATGTTTGGTAGAGAAATTTTAGAACTGTCATAAATATTTCATAAATATTATTTGTGCGTATTTAAATTGTGATTTCAAAAAGTTTGCAAGTGTAATAAATGACGGAGTGTTCGAGATTCATAAATTTAATTGCAATTAAAAATGCAAGAACATATCATAATTTTGTACCTCTTTCTCATAGAAAATATTCAAGTTCTGAGAAGTTTTAAATTGTTAAAAATAAGCAAAAACCAAAACATATTCCAAATAAACCCCTTTATTATAACATGTTTTATTTTAACCATTTAGGTACCTAAACACTAAACACAATTTAAAGAAGTATTTACAGATTGTGTAATTTTTTTTTTCAACACATTTAAAATACATTCATATAACTTTTAACTATTCTGTGCCTTACTAAAGGGATCAAAATAATAGAACAAGACTAACTTGGTTTAAATTGTGAAAGAAACCAACAAAAAACTGCCTAACGCAAGTTTTGTGTATAACATAATATGACATATTATGTTATATACAAAATTTACCAAAGAAATACGCACAAATAATATTTATGAAATATTTTTGACAGTTCTGACACTTCTCCAAAAAACATGAAAGACATCTAAATTTTAAATTATAAATAAAAATACAAAACAAGATTAACTGGACTGAAAAGATGAAGGTGGGGACTAAATTTCCTGAAAGTTTCAGATTTTTATTTTTTCCTCATCATAATGATTTCTAAAGGCAAAATTGACTAATTTTAAGAATTATCAAGTTTCAATAACTATTTTAATAAAGAAAATGATAGAAACGTTTTCGATTGTATAAGTACTTGATACCTGAATAAAAATAACTTTCTAGATTTAGTAGAATAGGCACAGGAGCCAGACAAAAATCACAAAAATTGGCAAATTATCATGAATCTTTAGTGGTTTACCATTCTTTTATGAGATTAACTAATTGGATAATAACAATTTATATCGAAAACACACTTACTGAATAGTAAAACAAAATTAAAATCTTTTCAATATTTGTCACACAAAAAAGTTCTGGCCCACTATAAGAGAGTAAGAAATTGACACGATTTCAGATTTCTAAAGGGTGCCGATTAAAAGTAAAGAATCCAAAAATTAAAACGGCAACGGATTTTCATATTTGATACCTAAAAGATCATCCTCAATTTTTTTTATCAAAATAAAAAATCAAGCAGCGCACCCCATTTGGTGTTTTTATTTGGAATTACTCATATGTGTTTTATATTATTAACTGTTTCCATAGCATAAAAATATAAATATAATAATAAATATAAAAATAAAATACTCAATACTCAATACTGCTAAAGGAAATTAAGTAAGTAAAAGTGTGTGAGTAAGAAAAGGCTTGTTCAAAGTTATAAAGGATTAGATTGTAAAAAATCAAAGGGATTTCTTCGGATTTCTTTTAATTAAAAAATATTTTTAAACTTTGTGTAATATTTAAGTGAAAATAAATATTATTAATAATGATAAATTAATAAAATAGATAAATCTACAATATAAACATGTTAAAATATGCGTAAAAAGAGTCACTCAACAAAAACTGCAAAATAATTTGACTTTCACGGCACTAGGGAGATAAATAAAGAGAACGCAGAAGGCGCAAAACATTTATACAGATAGATGTCATTTTTGCTTTGCATCTGAATACATTTCTATGCACTTTGTGAAACAAATTATTTTCCATTTTTCGGATATCTGAAAAGCGTGCCATTAAATATTTCGTTATAAATTTTATTTCGCGCCTGTCTCTTCCGAAACTTTCATATTCAATTTGATGGATATTTATTATATGTTGTTTACATTGATTTGTTGATAATTGTTTTTTGTTTTCCATAGTATCCCAGCAAACAGAAAAGCGTGAAAAACACGTGACATTTTGGTAATATTTCAACCAAAACACATTTTTATGACGTATTTTGTGGACGTAATTAAAACGTGTTAGTTAGACGTAAAAAAACGTCCCCCTTAACGTGGTTAAGACGATTCTTAAAGACATCTTATACGTCTTTACGTCCATTTTAGACGTCTTTAAGGTACAAAATTGACGTGTTTTGGTTGTTGAATAATTTCTCAAAAATAGTGCTGTTTTTAAACATTTAATGTTAAAACAATAAATGTTAATTTTATAAAAAGCTTTTGCTAAAAGTAAGTAGAAGTAACATTTCAATTCAGTAAAAATCGTCAAACAAATAAGTCGTCTAAATTCAAACATTTAGCATTATTAAAAGCGTTGATTAAGAAT